CCTGTTCTACGTAACGAATTACTACTCTACGTTATACCTCCTGATTGATACTGGGGCAGAAACTAGCGTAATTCCACCTTCAACAGCACGGCACTTGAGACCAACATCTTGACAACTACGGGCCGCCAACAGATTTCCCAAAATAATCGGTGGCAGGAAGTTCCTGTACCTTAACATCAGACTTCACCGTTCCCTCCGCTGGGCTTTCATCGTGGCTGATGTGACTACCAGCATTATTGGTATAGGTCTCTTGCAGCATTATCAGCTAATGGTGGATGCAAGTAAGCACAAGTTGACCGATTCTACAACACAACTCTCAGTCGTCGGTATTGTCAGTTAAACACACTCTATAGACCCAGTGCATTCGACACCCTGCACCTGGAGTGCGTACTTTACCATAATTCATTCTTTCTCAGATATCTTCAAACCGAATTGTGATGTCTCTTACGTGCCCCTCAATGTCACTTATGAAATCACTACTACTGGTCCACCTTTCCCTGCCAAGCCAGGAGAAAGTCCGAGTCCTCAAGGCTAAGTGTCAATGGAGTTGAAGATTGAACGATCAATTCTTGGTTGTTTGCTCAAAATCAACTTCCCCGATTTTCGCGGAGGCATCAATACGACAGTCATCGTCTCTTCGGTCGCTGTTCAGAAAGAAGAGTAAAATATCGTCAGAAGTAATATAACGATTTATTATTGTAATATTTGTTTACAGACCTTAGTTCGCTTATTCCTTTTATATGTTGGTGTAACAATAAACAAATCTAAAGCGGCAGATCAGTGTTTTGGTTTTTTCGTCCGTTATAACTAAGCGTTTCTGAGAAATCTTCGAAGAACAGCGTGGGCCCGAGCGTAGCGAGAGCTGGGCATTAACGGTTTATGAGACGTGATTGACAGTTTCTGACGATAGAAACAGATCTGGCGGATTCAAACAGTTGGTGAAAATTTGGATAGTCTCCGTTCATTTTTCCTGGTGCCGGTGAAGTCCTCTTTGAACAAGCGATATCTGGAACATTTTTGGAATTGGGTCAAGTTCAACAATGCCTGGGTCAAAGAAGGGACAGAGTGTCTTGGATGCAAACAGGAAAGTAAGTCATGGTGACTTGTCTGTTACTTGTAACGATGTGTCTGATGTTAAGCATGACATGGTTGATGTTACTGTTTCGCCGTTCAGGGATAATAGGAACATCAAACTCCCTAAATTTGAACCACGATGTTTTGATGGAAACCCTGTCGATTATTTACAATTTGTAAAGGAGTTTGAGATCATGTTGAGTGGTTTTCTAATAAATGATGAATTGAAGTTAATGTATTTGATGAGATATTGCACTGGAGATCCTGCAAGAGCTATACAGTGCTGTAAGTTTATGAAGCCAAAAGAGGGCTACTACGAGGCTATGAGCATATTACGTCAAAGGTTTGGAAGACCTTCGATGATTGTAGGGAAATTATTCGAGGCTGTTAAGGGTAATGGTGGTCAATTACAGGATGACTCCCAGGCACTCACTGAGTTTTTAGATAATTTGCTAATTTACAAGAATGGAATGATTTCGATGAATCGCATGAGTGACCTCAACTCGAGTTTCATACTAGAAGTAATAGCAAGACGTCTACCTACTCGACTGCAAAGGAAGTGGGTGAAGATGAGCACCCGTATGGAAGATGAGGGTATCGAGCCAAAGTTTGATGATATCCTGAAACTGGTAAATACTAGTGTCAATCAATCTATGAGCAAGTTTTCCAGTCTATTACATCTCACCCCTAGAATAGAGCAGTCTGAGATCAAAATGCAATCATTGATGACGAGTAGGCCTCAGAGAGGTGGATATCGAGAAGACTCCATGATGTCTAGTAATGCATATAGACCTAGTGAGTGTAACAGGTTTCGTAGTACATCCTCAACAGATAAGTTACAAGATGCAAGACAAACACGGTTTTGTTTTACACGTGTGCAAGAGGTGCATACAGAAGTGAACTGTGAACCGGTGAGCAAGTTCAGTGATAAGCTAAATGTGAACTCCAGGTCTGACTCCGAATTGTGTGACGATAACGGTGTTGTGAAGAAGTCTGTAGTTGCAACTGGTAAGCCGTTGTTGAATAGAGTGTCACAGAATAGAGTTACTGCTTCAGAGTGGAGTTTTGACTCCACAAGTTTACAAAGTATAACTAGTCACAGTGAAGATATAAAACCTTTAATGATTTGTGAGGAGGAACCAAAATTGTCTACTTCTGTTATTAAAGAGTTTGAAAATGATGAACTTGACGGTAAATTGAATATTTGTGGTAATGATCATGATAGTGCAGATTTGTCTTTGGTTGATCATGATGAAATGGGGGAATGCCTACTACCGCTAAGTTAAATAAAGGTTCTGTACAACTACAACGTGAAGTAGAATTAAATGCAGTTGCAGAAGGCATGCATACTTGTCAAACCGTCAGTGTAATTGATCAGAGTGAAGCCCACCTATCATCAGATGCTAGTGCTAAAGCGGAGCTGATAGTAAAAGACAGCAGTGGTGGTGGTCTTGCAGGTAGACAACTTTCTGAAAGTCGAGCAACAACAGCTTTTGATCCACTGCTAAGTTCATCAACTGATATCAATCAGTCGTCGTTGGTGCTGTCATCCACAATGAAACAGACACCCATCAACTCAAGTATCTTGTCCAATGACTATGATAGTATCAGTTCGTTTGAAAGGACGAATATCAATGGTCAGTTTAGTGAGGATAAGCCAAGTGTAAACGAGAGAGTTATCGTTAAATTGACTTGCACGAATAAAGGCATTTCTAGTTTCAAGTTACTATTTGAATGTTATTATCTTTGGTGTAAATTACTCTGTTTCTACACTTGGTTGATGAGATATGTCGTGTGTTTGTTGGTCATCTATATTCTACGATACAATGACATGGCCGTGTTGCCGTTCAGATTTGAGGATATAGCTGATAGAAGGAAGTTAGCAAATGAACTCTGCGACGATTTTCCAACCTAGGGCGTCAACCTGAGAAGGGTTGTAGGCGTACTGGTGTAAGTCCTGCGATTCTTCAAAGGAATTCCACCAAGACATGATCGGTGAGGTTGTTTGTACTATTTGTATATACGTGTGGTGTGTCATAGCAATTGGTGTATTTTGGATTCATTGTGTTTACTTGTTGTTTTCGTGTCTTGTTGTTATTGCGTAATTTTGTTAAAATTTTCGTCGTGATTATTTCTGAAGTTGTTTCGAGTCTTCTACATCCATGAATGAATTGATTGATGTTAAGGACAGCAGATGGGTCGTATACGCCGGGGAGGCTATTGCTGAGAATGAAATGCACACGGAGATAATTGTTAGCTGCGATCCCACACGCCGGGGAGAAAGAGTGTAAACGACTGAGGCTCGCATGCGTCACCGCTACTAGAACTGAGGCAGAATGAGTGACCAGCGATTGCAGTAGTAATTGGTAGTGAGTAGATACGAGGATGTGCGTAGAGTATCGTGAGGTGCTGCTATGGTCACGTTGCATTCTGCAAGAGTCATTCTAGCAAGTGGCGATTGTGTTGCAAGATGTCAAGAGGAGGCCTATGTCTGGAGGCGCAGGTTGTTATTGATGTGTGAGATTGTGCTGTGGGTATGCTTGTGGTGTGTTGGCTTTTCTGTTTGTTTTCCATTTCAGCTCTGTCCGTGTGACCCAGGTTCTCGCAATGGCATCCAAGTCAACGTGCATTGGTCGTGAAGGAAAAAAGGGTTGGATCCCTTTTTTGCCGGGGAGTGTCAATGGAGTTGAAGATTGAACGATCAATTCTTGGTTGTTTGCTCAAAATCAACTTCCCCGATTTTCGCGGAGGCATCAATACGGCAGTCATCGTCTCTTCGGTCGCTGTTCAGAAAGAAGAGTGAAACATCGTCAGTAGTAATACAATGATTTATTATTGTAATATTTGTTTTCAGACCTTAGTTCGCTTATTCCTTTTATATGTTGGTGTAACAATAAAGAAATATCAACAAGGGCAGATCGGTGTTTTGGTTTTTTCGTCCGTTATAACTAAGCGTTTCTGAAATCTTCGAAGAACAGCGTGGGCCCGAGCGTAGCGAGAGCTGGGCATTAACGGTTTATGAGACGTGATTGACACTAAGTTCTCGAAATTGAGATAATTAGGCCATCAAACAGCCCGTGGTCTTCAGCTCTACGTGTGGTTCCAAAGAACACTGATATGGACTGCAGGCTTGTAGTAATTACTGAGAGCTGTAGCGGTAAATGATTCCCCAAAATTATTGACCACAGCAATCACTCATTGGGTGCTGACCACCACTGTTTAAGTCGACTTGTTTAGCTGAAGGCTTCCGGTCAAGCATCCCCGCCATTCGGTACCCCGTCGTGTCACGTGCACGATCACTAGCCAGCTAAGCGTTCGTCTGACGGCTTGTTTTGGTCCCAAAATATATCACGTAGTTTGGACGATCAAAAATTGGCTTTTTCTTTGTCTCTGGTACGCGAGAACTAATAAATTAGAGGCTGTGTAAGAGAATTCCGCCAACCCCTAAAGTGTTCAGTGTTCAAATAGTCACAGAGCGTCACCAAGTGGCACATGTACATGACTTGGCATCGTCTCCGAAGGGTTGCACAGTATTCAGCAGGCTTGATCTGGCAAATGCTTATCATAGGCAGTGACTACTCGTTTTGGTCCCTTTGAGTTTCTTCGTATGCCTTTCGGTCTATGCAACACTGAACAAACACTTCAGTGTTTCACCCGTGATGTATTGCGTGAACTAGACTTTGATTATACTTATCTGGATGACATTGTTGTATTGTTCTATTTGACTGAACTATCGTACTCGTATATCCCATTACTTCCTCGCGTTTATCATTGTGTCCTTACGTTGTGATTCCTCAACATCCACAAAGTAAATCAAAAGGCACTTGAGAAGGAGTACGAACGTGTATTATCACGGTGATCAAAATTTAAAAGTTGAGCGAGTATAATATATCAATTTTAATACGTAATCTTTAAAGTGATAGAGTGGCTTATACTAGCTCGTGAAGACGATATTGGATATTGGACATAATGCGCGCTCTTAACAGAGGAGAAGTTACTGGGTATGGCATCAGGTGTTAGAAATGGTAACATTGTAGGAAGGCCTAGTACCGGTGGTGGCGAGACGATAGCTGAAGAGGAAAAAAACTTGCATGATGAACTGCATCAGGTGATTCTTCTCTGATATTTGTAGTGCATATTGAAAACGGTCAACGCTGACCATTTTACTTCACTTCTTAAAGTTTAGCAGAAATGAATAGCAAAAATAATTCGACTAAATGCTCAGTAACGAAAATAAAACAAGAAAGATCAGTAAGGAATTAGGAAGAAGGGAGATTTTCTTGGCGAAGTTAAAGTCTCATGGACAATTGTCCATGGGCTTGAATTTAAAGTCAAGGTGCTTTGACTTTAAATTCAAGGTCTTCCAAAAGTTGACCTTAGAGAAGAGATCAGATACCGGGAATGCTGTGAAATGTCATTTCAAATCAAATCACACTTGGCTAGAGTTAAGAGAATATTGGAGAATGATATTAGAAATATCAATGCCTCTCAAAGTACCATGATCAAGCCAGCTAGCATTTTTTTCGGGCGCATTGCAGACATTTTGGGGCGAAAACTTCGGGTAGATCTACTTACGTGGGACAGTGTCGCGAAGTTTGCCCCAAAAAGTCTGCAATGTGCCCAAAGTCTTCCTCCTAATTTGCAATGTGCCCAAATTCTTCCCAAAAAGTCTACAATGCGCCCTAAGTCTGTTTCTAAAAGTCTGCAATTTGCCCAAAAGTCTGCAATGCGCCCGAAAAAAATGCTAGCTATTGCAACAGTCACCTGGATGAAGGCTGTAAATCAAAAATAAAAAAATAAATATATCCTGTATTTCACGATTTCTCTGTAGATAATCTATGTATTGACTGGAAAACGTTCTTACAACAAATAAGCTACAACTATACAGTGTAATATTATGTCTGCAATATTTTTTAGTGTATTTTTCAACTGCTATGCTACTTTTTGTGTCTGAATTCTGATTGGTTGTTCATGGTTATGCGGTTTTGGCTATGGTGGTTTACCTTTGTCAGTTTATTCATTCACAAAATAACGTTAAGCCACTGCCGCCTCCTTCCCGTTATTATACTTGAAATTATTGCTACTCAGAATTGAATGTGTGTATTCACTCATTTTAAACAGCGGGAAGAGTGAGGGTTTTGCATTCAGATTATTTTGAAGTATTTCATAAGGGATCCTGGAAGAACTCATTAATTGTATTATTCTCATGGTATTACAGATCGATTTCATTTACAATTGAAAGGAAATAATTTAATAGTCCCTCTGACTTCTGAGTTATAAGTATATCTGCAATACGACTGGTCCGAAGTATTGGTTTTGCACAGTGGTTCGGTGAGTATGTCAACCAGAAATCCTACTGCCTACCACATTGCAACACACTTGAACTCCCAAAGTTTTCTAGATAACAAAAATTAACTTTAAGGTGAATTCATATTGAAAAGTACATAATATATGAACCGATTTGCTGCAGTCAGCAGCGTGTACTTAGCCATACATTCGCAGTCATCAAATTTTAAGCATAAATTTATGTACATATTTGTCAGCATTTTCAGAATCTGAGTGGTAGCAATTAGTGAATACATCTGCACTATGTAAACATCAGTCCCAATGATAGGATCGCACATAAAGTAGTATATCATCGTTTCTTGCACTTATTGTGATTGACTATGCGACCGATCATTTGCGTGACTTGGTGAGTCTGAAGCAGGCGCAGACTTAACGAAGTGACTAAGGTTCTCATTCAGTTCGGCGCAGTTTTAACACCCCGACAGTTTATTTTTAACATGTGGCGATGTCCATCGCCCGACTTAGTTCAAAACAGTAATCATTGACTACCGATTGGTGGCATGCTTTTTGCCCCACTTGGTTCTGTTCCTGCTAACATTGCTTAGCATGCTTTTCTTAGACAAGTTAGCCTTATCTTAGAATATGATTTTCTTAGTTAATACTTATCTAACATTATTACTACGTTGCTTCACCACCGTCAGGCAGTATACACGCCTTCGTTCACACCGCGCGAACTTTGAAAAGGGAGTTAATTTTCACGCTCTTGTTTATAATTGGATTTTGTTGTGTTATACGCTTCAAAAGTCCACAGATTTAACTTTAAATCAGTTTATTCTGGTCGAAGTTAGTTTACGTTTCAGATCTGAGTCTATTAATTATAATAAGTGTTCTTATAACATAATAGCCACATATATCTATCTTTGTGCACTCATTAGCTTTTATCACTGATTTACAAAGGTTATATATATATATTTGAAGTTGTATTTAACTTTTCCTGGTTCGTTTTAAATAAAATGCCTATTAAAAGAAACCGCTGCGGAAGGGCTATGTGCCAGTTTCCAGTGGATGAGGGAATGCAGTGTGATAACTGCAAGAGATGGTTTCACAGTATGTGCACGAACCTTACTCCAGCAGCATACAAACGCTGCTGCAAACCTCTAGCGAACTGGTTATGCAACGACTGCTGTAGTACAACTAAACTCCGTATTACAGAAGCCATAGCTACTCTTAGTGGGGCTTTAAAGCTCATGGACTGCAAGCGTCCTCCACCACAGAAGAATACCGACTATTGCTCAGATAGCGATGACGTGACTAGCGTCATTGACAAAACAGCACATGTCCCAGATGCGACCTTGCCAATAAGTGAGTGCTCTACAGCACAGAAGAACACCCACCATATTACAGACACCCAGGTCGCCCCCACGATACTGGATGAGCCCTCCAGTGACAGTAATGGAAAGACTGCCGTGAAGAAGAGGCGTACTAGGGGTCGAAAACCTGCAGCTCCAGTCGCCCAGGGACTGGCGGAACAAGCCTCATCCACACCGGTGAGCAGCAGACAGACGAACCCCACTAAGATTAGCGAGGAGGACGCCAATGAATGGCGCACCGTAGTCTCTCGCAAAAAGCGAGATAAGGATAACACTTCGGCCACACCGCCCAAGAAGGATAGAAACACACTTACGCCTCAGGGCAAGAAAGTAACGGAAAGCAAACCCGATCTCTCTGATAGGTCTCTCATTCTCCACAAAGTGGAGGAGTCACTGGCTCTCGACCCTAAGACCAGATTCGAGCATGACCTTAACTTGGTCAAGCCCCTTTTAGACAAGCTACTGCCACAAACAGTATCAGGCATTACTATACACAGCGTATACAGAATAGGTCAAAAGCCTGACCCTACAGTAAGTGAACCTGTACGTCTCCTCAAAGTCGTACTAAACTCTAAAGCGGAGAGGGACGCTATTCTAAGCAACTCTCATATTCTCAAAGGATCAGGGATATATGTCCGCGCTGACTTAAGCCTGGCAGACCGTGTCAAAAGACAGGCTGCGGCACTAGAATTAAGTGAGCGACGCCGGAACGGTGAGAAGAACCTTAAGATTAAGGGTTTTCGGGTTGTCCGAGTTCGCAGTTTAATGATCCCGAAACCTCTGTGGGTGGGCCGGGGAAGCACCAATCTGAATTAACAGTCTGCTACACAAACGCCCGCAGCCTGTTAAATAAAAGGACTGAGCTGGCAAACATGATAGAAACCGGAAACCCGGATGTAATTATTATCACAGAGACATGGCTCACACCCGATGTCACTGACAACGAAGTTAACCTGCCAAACTTCGAAGTGCACAGGGTAGACCGACTAAACCGCAAAGGAGGGGGCGTAGTCATCTACCTCAAGAAAGGCTTAACCGTGCGTAGTATCGAAGCACTCGCCCACGAAAGTGAGTCGTGCGAACTTCTACGCTGCAGACTTAAATGCATAGGCCAAGACATTGACCTCATTGCTGTGTACCGCAGTCCTGACTGCAGTGCAGACGACTTCCTAATAGAGAAGCTAGGCTCCTGGACTTCAAAATGTCGAAGTCTCGTAGTCGGTGACTTCAACGCCCCAACAGTTGACTGGTCGAGCCTAACAACTCCATCTTCAGTCAACTCCTTTGACCATAAACTGCTAGAATCTAGTATATCGCTAGCCCTAGTCCAACATATCATTAAGCCCACGCGCTATGACTCACAGCACTCCTCATCAACTCTGGACCTAGTGTTCTCACACGGTGAGGATGTGGATCTCATACAACATCTTCCTCCGTTAGGAAGAAGTGACCATGCTGTGCTCACTTTCAAGTTCACAGCAACGGCAGCAAGGGCCAAAACCCCAGCTCGACCAAACGTTTGGAAAGCTGACATAAATGCGATCGTCTCAGCAGCCAACTCAGTAAACTGGTACATCAATCCAGAGTCCCAAGTAGAAGCCGCATGGAACCAATTTAAGCAACTTTACGCCCAAGTAACTGTACCCTTCATCCCTTGGTCTGTTCCAAAGGGTCGGAAACATTCCCCCCCTTGGATAAACCGGGAGATTCGTAAGTTACTCAGACGTAAACGCAAATGTTGGAACCTGTTTGCAACACTTGAGACTTCTGAGACCAGGGAATTATATACTACTGCTAGAAATAAAGCTATCGCAGAAATCCGCCAATCAAGGATGAAGTTCGAGACACACCTGGCCCAAAATGCAAAGGCACAACCTAAGAAAATTTTCTCGTACTTGAATTTCAGGAATAAAACACCCAATGGTGTCCCAAACCTGATTATTGACAAAGATACAATCGAAGAAGATCAAGAAAAAGCAGAAGCAATGGCAAACTACTTCTCCCAAGTCTTCACTCAGGAGTCATCACTGCCTATAGGATCAGCTCTGGCTGCATCAGAAGAACATGGGATAGATTCCGTTGACATCGACCAAGGCATCGTGCTCAACTTCTTAATGAAACTAGATGCAGGAAAATCAATGGGTCCTGACAGTCTTCATCCAAGGCTTCTCAAGGAGCTATCAGCCCACATAGCCGGCCCCTTGACCACGATCTTCAAGCTATCTCTCCAAAATGGAGTGTTGCCACGTGATTGGAAAGACGCCATAGTAACCCCCATACACAAAGGAGGATCAAGACAAAGCCCTTCAAATTACAGGCCTATCAGTCTCACCAGCACTTTAATCAAGACACTGGAAAGAATTATCAAGAAAAGCATCATGGCTTATCTGGAAAATAGCAGCTTGTTATCTGGAGCACAGCATGGCTTCCGGAGGAACCTCTCATGCCTGTCAAATCTCCTGACTGCAAGAGAAAGCTGGGTCAAATCAAAGGATAACAGAAGACCCGTTGACGTCGTCTTCATAGACTTCAGTAAAGCCTTTGATAAAGTACCTCACAAAAGACTACTCATGAAATTGGAAAGTCTTGGTATCAAAGGCAGACTACTAGACTGGCTCAGGGAATTCCTCATAGATAGGAGGCAGAGGGTTAGGATCAACTCAAAACTCTCCTCCTGGACAGCAGTAAGTAGCGGAGTGCCACAAGGCACGGTTCTCGGTCCTCTCCTTTTTATTCTGTATATCAATGAGTTACCTCTGCTCACTGACTCCCCTATGGTCCTATACGCAGATGACTTAAAAATTTGGAGGGAGCTGAAGGGCAACAGTGATACGTCCACCTTGCAAGACGACCTCAACAAACTGTCGGAGTGGTCTGTTGAATGGATGCTCCCGATCAACGTGGCAAAATGTGCAACCATGCGCATTGGACAAGCAAGCACGAGCTCCTACGAACTAGAGGGAATAACACATCCATCAGTTCAGACTCACTTGGACTTAGGTGTCATAGTTAGCCACGACTTAAAGACTACAGCACACTGTCGCGCGGTGGCTGCACGTAGTTTCAGGTCCTTATGGGCGATTCGCAGAGCCTTTACAAGAATTACCAGAGATATGTTCACCTCCTTATACACATCTCTGGTTAAGTCAAGACTGGAAAACTGCATCCAGGCCGCCAGTCCGTGTCTAAAACGGGATTCACACATTCTAGAAAGTGTTCAAAGGAAGGCAACACGTATGGTTCACGGCATAGCTTACTTATCATATGAGGAAAGACTAGATAGTTTAAATCTCTTCTCACTACTCATGAAATTGGAAAGTCGTGGTATCAAAGGCAGACTACTAGACTGGCTCAGGGAATTCCCCATAGATAGGAGGCAGAGGGTTAGGATCAACTCAAAACTCTCCTCCTGGACAGCAGTAAGTAGCGGAGTGCCACAAGGCACGGTTCTCGGTCCTCTCCTTTTTATTCTGTATATCAATGAGTTACCTCTGCTCACTGACTCCCCTATGGTCCTATACGCAGATGACTTAAAAATTTGGAGGGAGCTGAAGGGCAACAGTGATACGTCCACCTTGCAAGACGACCTCAACAAACTGTCGGAGTGGTCTGTTGAATGGATGCTCCCGATCAACGTGGCAAAATGTGCAACCATGCGCATTGGACAAGCAAGCACGAGCTCCTACGAACTAGAGGGAATAACACATCCATCAGTTCAGACTCACTTGGACTTAGGTGTCATAGTTAGCCACGACTTAAAGACTACAGCACACTGTCGCGCGGTGGCTGCACGTAGTTTCAGGTCCTTATGGGCGATTCGCAGAGCCTTTACAAGAATTACCAGAGATATGTTCACCTCCTTATACACATCTCTGGTTAAGTCAAGACTGGAAAACTGCATCCAGGCCGCCAGTCCGTGTCTAAAACGGGATTCACACATTCTAGAAAGTGTTCAAAGGAAGGCAACACGTATGGTTCACGGCATAGCTTACTTATCATATGAGGAAAGACTAGATAGTTTAAATCTCTTCTCACTGTCATACCGTAGGCAGAGAGGAGATTTAATCACAATGTTTAAAATTTTAAATAATGACTACGGACCTGACCTATTCTCTCTTTTCCTTCCCACCAGGTCGAAACACCTTAGAGGACATAGCAGGAGAGTTCAAAAGCCAAGGAGAAATCATATTGCTGTTGAGTACTGGTTCTCACATCGAGTCACAAACTCTTGGAACCGACTCCCAGAAGAAGTGGTGTCTGCAACCTCAATTGATTCGTTCAAGAAGGGTTTGGACAACCACAGAAATCTACTAGAAAAGGATTAACATAGGCTACAAGCCTTCTATCCTCAACCAATAAATCTGAATCTGAAATCTGAATCTGAATCAATGCCTCTCAAAGTACCATGATCAAGCCAGCTAGCATTTTTTTCGGGCGCATTGCAGACATTTTGGGGCGAAAACTTCGGGTAGATCTACTTACGTGGGACAGTGTCGCGAAGTTTGCCCCAAAAAGTCTGCAATGTGCCCAAAGTCTTCCTCCTAATTTGCAATGTGCCCAAATTCTTCCCCAAAAAGTCTACAATGCGCCCTAAGTCTGTTTCTAAAAGTCTGCAATTTGCCCAAAAGTCTGCAATGCGCCCGAAAAAAATGCTAGCTATTGCAACAGTCACCTGGATGAAGGCTGTAAATCAAAAATAAAAAAATAAATATATCCTGTATTTCACGATTTCTCTGTAGATAATCTATGTATTGACTGGAAAACGTTCTTACAACAAATAAGCTACAACTATACAGTGTAATATTATGTCTGCAATATTTTTTAGTGTATTTTTCAACTGCTATGCTACTTTTTGTGTCTGAATTCTGATTGGTTGTTCATGGTTATGCGGTTTTGGCTATGGTGGTTTACCTTTGTCAGTTTATTCATTCACAAAATAACGTTAAGCCACTGCCGCCTCCTTCCCGTTATTATACTTGAAATTATTGCTACTCAGAATTGAATGTGTGTATTCACTCATTTTAAACAGCGGGAAGAGTGAGGGTTTTGCATTCAGATTATTTTGAAGTATTTCATAAGGGATCCTGGAAGAACTCATTAATTGTATTATTCTCATGGTATTACAGATCGATTTCATTTACAATTGAAAGGAAATAATTTAATAGTCCCTCTGACTTCTGAGTTATAAGTATATCTGCAATACGACTGGTCCGAAGTATTGGTTTTGCACAGTGGTTCGGTGAGTATGTCAACCAGAAATCCTACTGCCTACCACATTGCAACACACTTGAACTCCCAAAGTTTTCTAGATAACAAAAATTAACTTTAAGGTGAATTCATATTGAAAAGTACATAATATATGAACCGATTTGCTGCAGTCAGCAGCGTGTACTTAGCCATACATTCGCAGTCATCAAATTTTAAGCATAAATTTATGTACATATTTGTCAGCATTTTCAGAATCTGAGTGGTAGCAATTAGTGAATACATCTGCACTATGTAAACATCAGTCCCAATGATAGGATCGCACATAAAGTAGTATATCATCGTTTCTTGCACTTATTGTGATTGACTATGCGACCGATCATTTGCGTGACTTGGTGAGTCTGAAGCAGGCGCAGACTTAACGAAGTGACTAAGGTTCTCATTCAGTTCGGCGCAGTTTTAACACCCCGACAGTTTATTTTTAACATGTGGCGATGTCCATCGCCCGACTTAGTTCAAAACAGTAATCATTGACTACCGATTGGTGGCATGCTTTTTGCCCCACTTGGTTCTGTTCCTGCTAACATTGCTTAGCATGCTTTTCTTAGACAAGTTAGCCTTATCTTAGAATATGATTTTCTTAGTTAATACTTATCTAACATTATTACTACGTTGCTTCACCACCGTCAGGCAGTATACACGCCTTCTGATGTTTTATCGGATATCATTCCTCTGCCAAAAGTGACTCAAGCTAGCAAACGCTAGAGAAGCATTTTGTTTCAGTGCTTAGTCTCACCAGTAATCAGTCTACTAAGTGAAGTAGTCAACATTTATCTAAAAGCCTTGCAACCCTTCCTCAAGGACAAATTATAACTCAAACAACACTAGGTGGGAAGACCAGGTAGAGGGTGCATAGATCATATCTTCACTCTCCGATAGATCCTAGAATATAAACACACTTTTCGGCGTCTAACAATTGCCATATTTCTTGACTTGAAGGCGGCCTTTGACTCCGTGGATCGAAAGGTACTATGGCAATATCTGACTGTGAAGGGAGTGCCAAGAAAGTACATTGCACTAATCAAGGCATTTTACTCAAACTCATGCAACCGTGTAAGGGCTTATGGGGAATTGTCATCTGAACTGGTAACAACCAGTGGTGTCCGACAGAAATGTCCACTTTCCCCATTTCTGTTTAACTTCATCATAGATATGCTAATGGAAATATCCTTAATTGAACTTAACGACTTAGGAATCGACTTGTTACCAGAGAATAGTCTTATGGACTTAGAATATGCAGATGACATAGTCCTGTTAGGGAAGGATACTGACAAAATGCAGAGTCCTCTGAACACCTTGAGCAGCAGTCTTCGTATGTTTGGCATGCGATTCTTACTTACTTTACTTTTACTTTACTTCGGCTATCTCCTACGGGAGGATGAGCCGGCTTCATGAACGTCTCGAATCATCGCTGCCCAGGCGCGGCGATCTGAAGCAAGGTTTTGCGATAGGGATATCCAATTCTTGTTCCACATACGGAGTCCGTAGACCGTTTGTAGCCCCAGGCACTCCATATCTGCCTTGACTGTACCAAGCCATGTCTTCAGCTGTCCGCCTCTGCGACATCGCCAAGATGGTAATGGCGAGGGATTTAGAACTGATTTGACCAGATCGTCATCTGGTCGGCGCAGAACATGGCCAAACCACCGAAGGCGGCGTTGTTGGACCAGTACTGGAATTTGGTTGATGTTGTAGCAACGCCGACGCACTTCTTCGTTGGAGAGTTTGTCCTGCCAACGAACATGCAGAATGTACCTGAGACACCAATGGTCTAATACCTCGAGTCTGCGTAAATCTTCCGCGCGAAGAGGCCAGGTTTCACAGCCATACAGCAGAACGGGTCGTATGGAAGCTTGGTAGATCCGAATTTTAGTCCTGAGACTGATTTCTCTCTTGCTCCATAGAACGCTCCTCAGCTGTAGAAACGCATTCCGGGCGTTGGAGATTCGCGCATTCACTTCGTTTTTCGCTTGGCCGTTGGGGAGCATTATGGATCCCAGATATCTGAAGGATGGCACAATTTCAATAGGTGCTCCATTTAAGGATAAGATTTCATCATTGCCGGTGGATGTGTTCGAAAACATTTTGGTTTTGGAAGTGTTAATTTTCAAACCGATAGTAGACGCGAGGTGGTTTATCTGGTCGAGCGCCTGTTGCATATCGGGGAAGTTTTCAGCTAACAGCACGACGTCGTCGGCGAATTCGAGGTCGGTTATGTGAATATCGGGCGAAAGTTGGACGCCGTGGTGCTCGGTTAGGGCGTGCCGCAAAATCCAATCAACTGTGAAATTGAACAGGATGGGGGATGCTGGACAACCTTGCCGGACACCGCTGGTTACCTCAAAAGTGCGGGACTCTTCACCGTTCACTCGGACTCGAGCTTTGGTGTTGGAGTAGTATGACCTGAGCAGGTTGATTAGCTTGGTCGGAACTCCGTCGAGCTCCATTAGATACCAGAGTGCTCCTCGATCAACTGAGTCGAATGCCGCTTGGAAGTCGATGAAGCAGGCAACCGTCGGCTGTTGGAATTTGTCCCTGTGTTCCAAAATTCTTCGCAGTGTGAATAATTGATCAACACAGCCTCTTCCAGGTCGAAATCCGGCTTGATTTGGCCTTGTTCGCACGTGGCGTTCGGCCGCGAAGCGGTTCAGGAGAATGGAAACAAAAACCTTAGCAGCGATATCAATCAGACTTATGCCTCGGTAGTTCTCGCATATTGACCTGTCTCCCTTTTTGTGGAACGGTAGCAGAACTGAGGTGCTCCAATCGGAAGGAATGGTTTCGGACTCCCAAATTGAGCAGAACAGCGAGTGCAGTGCATCGATTAGCGCTGGAGTGCAGGCCTTGTATATTTCTGGGGGTAGACCATCTTCGCCCGGAGCTTTTTTGTTTCTGAGTGTGTTAATTGTTTTAGCTATTTCGGTTGGAGTGGGTGGATCGCAGTCAACTACGTAGGGTGTTGGTAAGTGTCGTATCGGTCGATGAGACGGTTGACCAGCGTCGCGATTGAGTAGCTGCTTGAAGTGTTCGGCCCATCGTTCCATCTTACCATTGGTGTCCGAAATAATTTCTCCTGATGCTGTGCGTAACACAGCATGACTGTTAAGGCGTTTGCCAGATGATTGGCGTAAGAGGCGATAAAGTTTTCCGAAATCGCCTACATTTGTTGCTGCTTCCATGTTAGTCGCCACGTTAGACCAATAGCGATTTCTGTCGTTCCTTGCAGACTGTGTAGCTTTGCGCCTGAGGGAGCGATAAACTGGAGACTTTGCTAGGCGAGCGTCTCTGGCTTGCGAGGATAGAAGCATGGTGTGCTCTGAAATCCAGTCTTTCTGCTTCTTGGATGTGGTACCCAAATGCGTCATTGAAGCTTTAGAGACTACTTCTTTGAAATGATTCCATCGTGTCTCGGGTGTATTAGAAGATGTGGATGTTGGTTCATCTGCGGCGCTTAGTTCGGCCTGGATTTGTTTGGACAAGGCTTGTCGTCTTGTAGAACATTGAAGCGGGGCAACATTGATACGCTTCGGAGGTCGCGTCTTCTGGCGTGTCGTTAAACGAAGTTTGAATTTCGCCCTAACTAGAGTATGGTCTGATCCCCCTTTATTTCCGGCCTCTGCTCCACGATAGGATCGACAGTCTTCCACCGAGGAGATCCAGCGTGAGCGCACTAGGATGTAGTCTATCTGATGTGCAGTGCGACCGTCGTTCGAATACCAGGTGAGAAGATGTTTTCTGGGATTCGCCCCTGTAAAGTGTAAGATGCTGTTACAGGACTGGACTACGTCAACTCCCAGCTTAGTGATAGGGAGTGAAGTGATAGAACATGTTGACCACTTCACCTATTTGGGAAGTTGTATCAGCACCAACGGACTGATTGGCGACGAAATCTCAGCACGGATCCAAAAAGCTCGAGCTGCTTTCGCTGACTTACACCATCTCTGATGTAGGCGTGACATCCGGTTATCAACCATGGGACGTGTGTACTGCTCAGCAGTTCGCTCCGTCCTTCTCTATGGCCCTGAAACATGGCCAATACGCGTTGAAGACATGAAAAGGTTGACTGCTTTCGATCATAGATGTCTGCGATCTCTTTCTCACGTTAGGTGGTTTCACAAGGTAAGTAATGTTGACGTTAGGCGTAGAGTGTTGGGCAAAGAGGGAAAATCAATCGACGAGGCTATAAAGTTACATAGACTAAGATGGCTAGGTCACGTGCTGCGCATGCCTAACCACCGCCTCCCCCGACGGGCATTACTAGCTGATATAGGTGCAGGTTGGAAAAGAGCCAGTGGTGGCCAAACAAAAACATGGCCTCATCAATCCATGAAATCCTTGACAGTTAAACTGAGTTGGTCAGGTAGGGAGATGCAGACTCCCGGGTTGGGGGCCTCGGGACTCTAGGAATCAATGGCTGGAGACAATAGGTGACATGGCTCAAAATCGTTGTCAATGGCCAGCGCAGATGTATTCAGTCTCTGTAATCTTTCATATTCCTTTCTACCATTACTCATTCTGTTTCACTCTTATACTTGTGAAACTCTATTGATTCTCTCCACTCATCTTTTTGTCTACCTTTGTGTGCTATTTGGAACGTAGCAACTCGAACTGCTGCACTTCGGTGCCAAGTTCTATGTTGAATCCAGACAGACAGGTGGGAAGAGAGTTTAGGGTAATCAGACTACTCGTTACCATCATAATTCTGAAAGTGTTCACTCCACCGCGCACATTTTCTTCCCCATCAAATTACACTTGTTTCCCCTACGTATACGGATAGTCATCACAAATGTGGCACCCAATGGGTGAATCACTGAGACAATCTCAGCACGGATACAGAAGCCTAGTTTTGCATATGCCAGTTTACGCCGTCTCCGGCATAGATGTGATATCCAGGTGGCCATCAACCGAATGATGTGCCTACGGCTCAGCTGTCCGATCCGTCCTCCTTTATGACTATCAGACATAGTCATTGAGAATGGAAGACATGTAAAGGCTCGCTAGCTGTCTTTAATCATATGCGTCTGTGTTCTATCTCCTCTGTTAAGTGGTATGATAAGGTGAGCAATATTGAGCTTAGGCGTCGAGTGATAGGTAAGGATGGAGAGGAAATCAATCGACGAGGTTGTGAAGTCACACCGATTGAGATAGTTAGGGCATGTTTTACTCATGCCTAGCCATCGTTTTCCCCGACGGACAATGTTAACTGACACAGGATGGGTCAGGTTGGAAAAGAGCTACTGGTAGTGATGGTCAAACCAAAATATGGCTTCATCAGTCAATGAGATCCACGACCGTCAGTTTAAGCCACGTAGGAAGGTGTAGACTGACTGACTGGTGGGGGTCCTCAGGGTGGTAAAAACAAATGGCTGGAAGCAATCGCTGATATAGGTTAAATCGTTGTCAATGGGGCTGGCTCAGATGCATTCTTTCTCTGTGATTTATAATAGCCAATACAATTCTGTTGTTCTTCCATATTACTATTCCTTTTACCCCATATTTCTGTTTATTATCTCTCTTTTGAATCCATCTTTACTCTCTTCTCTTGCTTTATGTGCTATATGGAGTGTGGCGAATCGAACTGCTGCACATTGATGCAAAGTTCTATGTTGAAGCCAGTCAGTCGATCAGTAGTGAAGTGAACAATCCTTTACTGTTATTTTTACGATATTCCTGGGACTAAATCGTTAGGCTTTGATGGTTTGTATCATTCCAACTTTGTGACAGCCTTTGCATGCTCTATGAGAATTTATAAACTGATGTATATCCAAATGATAAACGGAATTTCAACTAATTACAATGATGCAATTCAAGGACGAGTTGGTCCACTGACCCCAGGTAATTTTTCTATTACGTTAAGCATAGATATACACTAAATCGTAGTTGGAGATAAGATGATACAAACCATCAAAGCCTAACGATTTAATCCCAGGAATATCGTAAAAATAACAGTAAAGGATTGTTCACTTCACTACTGATCGACTGACTGGCTTCAACATAGAACTTTGCATCAATGTGCAGCAGTTCGATTCGCCACACTCCATATAGCACATAAAGCAAGAGAAGAGAGTAAAGATGGATTCAAAAGAGAGATAATAAACAGAAATATGGGGTAAAAGGAATAGTAATATGGAAGAACAACAGAATTGTATTGGCTATTATAAATCACAGAGAAAGAATGCATCTGAGCCAGCCCCATTGACAACGATTTAACCTATATCAGCGATTGCTTCCAGCCATTTGTTTTTACCACCCTGAGGACCCCCACCAGTCAGTCAGTCTACACCTTCCTACGTGGCTTAAACTGACGGTCGTGGATCTCATTGACTGATGAAGCCATATTTTGGTTTGACCATCACTACCAGTAGCTCTTTTCCAACCTGACCCATCCTGTGTCAGTTAACATTGTCCGTCGGGGAAAACGATGGCTAGGCATGAGTAAAACATGCCCTAACTATCTCAATCGGTGTGACTTCACAACCTCGTCGATTGATTTCCTCTCCATCCTTACCTATCACTCGACGCCTAAGCTCAATATTGCTCACCTTATCATACCACTTAACAGAGGAGATAGAACACAGACGCATATGATTAAAGACAGCTAGCGAGCCTTTACATGTCTTCCATTCTCAATGACTATGTCTGATAGTCATAAAGGAGGACGGATCGGACAGCTGAGCCGTAGGCACATCATTCGGTTGATGGCCACCTGGATATCACATCTATGCCGGAGACGGCGTAAACTGGCATATGTGAAACTAGCCTGCTGAGATTTCATCAGCGATCAACCCGTTGGGGCTGATACAACTCCTCAAATAAGTGAAGTGTTCAACACGCTCTATCATTCCACTCCCTGTTTCTAAGCTAGAATTCAGTGTAATCCAGTCCTGCAGCATCATCTTACATTTTGCGGGAGCGAAAAGCATGCCAAACATTCGCAGATTGCAGCTCAAGGTGTTCAGAAGACTCTGCATCATGTCATCGTCTTCACCTAGAAGGAGTATATCATTTGCATATTCTAAGCCAACAAGATTATTCCCTGGTAGCAAGTCAATCCCTAAGTCTCTGAAGTGAGTTAGGGTTAAGTCCATTAGTACATCTATGATGAAGTTGAATAGAAATGGGGATAGTGGGTATCCCTGACGGCCACCACTAGTTGTCACCAGTTCAGATGAAAACTCTCCGTAAGCTCTCACCTGGTGGCTATACAGTACAGTTTGTATAATAGCTACATACTTTACCATCAGCTTTATCATTGTTTTGAACATAAATTGATAATTTATTGATAAGTGAAGTTGTTTCGTTTACATATAGTTGCAATCGCGTCTTAATTTTGCTAACATCTCTCAGTGTCGGTTTAGACGTCATCTGTAGTGCTATTTGTATGAAGCAATGAGTTCGGTAACTTCTAATGCATCTTTTCAAGATTGAATAGTATGCTCGTGTTCAGTTATTCTATCCTTTAAGGTTAGTCTCTTGTTGGATCTCCTACTTCCAGCTTTAGTAACTGTTAGCTGTCTCTTGTTCGTCTGTATATTTGTGTTCTTTATGTTAGCTTGAACATTGAGACAAAAGGCTGAGTAGAAGTAAGCAAACATCAGCAGAACTATTCTGCCTAAGAAGAATATCTCATAAGTAATTGAAAAGGTGCTTATTTCTCCTGTCATATGGCTCTCTAGACGATGTCGAAACTCAAGTTGAAATTTCTGGTAGCAAAAATGAAAGCTGGATGATCAACCGAACTAAGTAAAATTCCATAAAGTAGACCGCAAACTATTCATTATCATATTTATTTCCACTTTCTTTGTATACTAACTTGTCAGGTTGAAGATGAAATTCGTCTTCTTCAAGAAACCCTTGCCGCGAAAATTCGTCGATGTAATGAAATAAAGAGGACTCTTGGCTATACTTCTCTTTCAACATTACAGTATGATCTCATGGAAAGCATTCATAAATTAGAAGACACTAAGACGTAAGTTTTGTTGTACACATATCCATTTCTGACCTTTTGTTGCTCCAAGTTATAAATATTTTACCAGAATTAGTATCTTAAGACTGTAGTTACTGTTACCGAGGAAGTGTATAAGTAGCATTCATCCTTTCTCGCCTGCTTGTCATAGCCACCTACTATTATATTGATTATTGTGTATAGTTTAGTACTCTCCTTTAAGCTGAAGAAGTGTGCTTATATTTTAGAGAGTAACACTCCATGTGTTGTGCAGTTTGAAATGAATTTTTTGTTACATATTTAGGCTCTGAGAGTTGTATTCCAGTAATTATCATATTGTACGTGTGGAAAATTTTTACATTTACAGGAAGTAGGTAGAAAAAGAACTCACTGATCTCTGTTTAAATAGCATTTCACGAATAGAAAAGTACTCAAATTCATCCTTCAAAAACTACATCCAAGGAAAGTACCCCACTAGTAAATGTCTCATGTACACTTAGTGTCTCCCAAAATATCAAGAAAATATTATCGTCGCACATGTTGAATGCGGTGGAATCTACTACGTATTCAAAATAAACTAGAGGCTTTAATCAATAATTGCTTGCTTTCTTATACACTTCAAAATGAATCGTACCTATTTGGTAAGGGTCGATACATCATCCTAACAATCCTAGTGTCGTTAAGTGGACGGATTCCAACCCATGACTCACCGGTTGGATGTCCTTCGCCTTTAGTAGAACTGGGAACGTGAAATCATGAGGTGACCACTAAAGCATACGATGAGTTACATACTTACTGTTATTTTATTAGAAAAATTTCGCATTATAATACTTGCTTAGTAATTTAACCATTTATTACCTGAACTAACTCTTGCAGGTTAACCGCTTGAAGTTGTTGATAAGTTTGTGTATCTGGGTTGTTGTGCGGCTGCTGGCGGAGGGGTGACGGATGAGATTTTCAGCCGTATCATGAAGGCTAGGTTGGTATACATCAAATTAAGCCACCTCTAGCGACGTCAGCCGGGCTGTCAAAGGTCGCATATACAATGCCTCAGTGCGGGCTGTCTGTGAAACCTGGCCTCTTCAAGCTAAGGATGTGCGTTGGCTCTGCGCATTCGAACATCCCCGTCTCCGCAGGATTGCTTGCGTTTGATGATATCATCGCGTGAGTAACTGAGGTTTGGAGGTATGTGTTTAAACACAGTGGAGATCACTATTCGTTGAGTGTCGTCATCTGGAAACACCGGCCTCGGTGGTCTGGATATGTCCTGCGAATGTCATCCCAGAGGCTTCCGTACAAGTCTCTGTTCTCTAGCCCTGGGATGGGATGGAAAACTGTCACCAGGACAGTTTATCGCGCACTAGCCATGCCGACGATATTTAGCAGACACCGCACGAAACTGTTTCATGATGTTTGTCAACTATGGATGAAAAGTTCCCTATTTTGAGGCTTTATCTGTTGAGCCTATATACGTTTTTCTCGTAGATCGTTTCACTTATTGTTGGTTAACTTTCTTGATAGGTGTACTTATGGATGTGATTCTAATCGACTTTAGCGACTTAGACATTGACTTCTTGCTATGAAATGTTCTTGTTGCTCTAGAATATGCTGATGTTGTTGTCCTCCTAGGTGAACACGCTGAAAAATTAAAGAATTTTCTGAACTCTTTGAGCAGAAATCTTGGTATATTTCGCATGCAGTTCGCTCTTATCAATTGTAAATTGACGCTTCAGGACTGGACTACGCTAACTCTTAGCTTCCAGATAGGGAGTGAAGTGGTAAAGCCTATTGACCACCTCACTCATTTGGAAAGTTGCATTGGCCCTGACGAATCCTTAGCACAGATGCAAAAGTCTTGGGTGGCATTTTTTATCTCTGGATTAGATGTGATATCCGACTATGCATCAAAGGAAGTGCATTACTTAACAGGTCGCTTCGTTCTCCTTTGGGTATGTGAGATATGGCCATTGAAAGTTGAAGATATGAGGATGCTAGTTGTCTTTGACCACAGATGTTTGCATTCATTCTCCCGTGTTAAACGGCATAATATGATGAATAATATCGAGTGTTGGATAGGGAGGGTAAGTCAATGGATGATATTTGAAAACTGCGTGGATTAAGATTGTGTTCCCCGAGACACTGTCCACTTCGACGGGCGATGTTAGCTGAAATATGATTGGGTTGGAGAAACAGGGGTGATCAAACCTGAAGCAGTCACTCCGCAAGGTCTTTTACAGTTTGTTTGAGCCACGTAGGGTGATATAAGCCACCTGATAGGGATCATTGGAATTTTAAAATCCAATGGTCGGAGACTACTAGTGATATATACAGTTCAGAATCATTCTGAATGGTGCAGATGTATTCACTTCTTATGGACTCTCATATCTATTAATTCTTCATGTTTCTCCATCCTTCTATTGTTCTTTCCATACATTTCGTTTGAATGTTTTTTTTTAATTTTCTGAACTTTTGTGTGCTACAGTAAATGTGACAGCTTGAACTGGTGTGTTTATTTATGTGTAAAGTTCTATGCTGAAACTGGGTCAGTCACTTTATCTTCTGCTCAGTTAAGCAGATCATATCACCAGCTTTCACAGTATTAAGTGTATCTTTCAACCTGGTAACTAAGTGTGAAAAAGAAACCAGATAAACTTTTTTATTATTCATTTCACCAGTGATTTTAGTTTGCTAATGAATCACCTTCATTGTCTGCATACTTTCTTAAATTATCCGTTTTTTTCACTACTGTGTTTCAGATATATTAAAGCTAGTGAACTGTTAAACAAAGCAAAGGATAAAACAGTCAATGTAGCCCAAGATACTAAAGAGAAAGTCGGATCAACTATTTCCGCAATCCGGTAGGATTAGTTTTAGCTTTTGTAACCCAGCATACTGATTCTCTTTTTAAATTATTTTAGAAATTCAGATGTTGTTAAGTCATTAAACGATAAAGTTGGTTCAGCTTTCTCAACAGTCAAGGTAAATTCTACCTATCTCCTGTATTTTTGTTTACAAAGATGATAAACTTGTGTTCTATTAGTCCATGCTTTCTTTCGCCTTTAAGTATTGATTCATGCGTTTGAACCCCGTTCTACGCATTGAGTTTTGATCAGCTCCAGACAGAAGGACAGATTGTTACAAGCCTATGATACCTGCAGTCTGTCGGTAGATAGAAGTCTGAGTGCCTCGATTATCCCTAATCGTCAACAGGTGTTTGGAAATGATATTAAGGACCTGTATGACTTTTCTTATTCAGGAGAAATCCTTGGTTAGTAGTGGATGATTTATTAACATACGAAATTGTGGGTGTTTGGTTAAAGTGTCTGTGACTTAGTGGCTTAAGCAGTCTACTCCCAACCAGTAGGTCTAGGATTCGTATCGCGCTGCATCTACTTCAATCTGAACAAATGGGTAGTGACATCAACCGTAAATCAATCATTGCGTGACTAATAGCTTGGTACAGGTAAGATGCTTTGGAGTTTACGAAGTTTGTGTAAGAAAAGGTAATGGCAGTAACATTTTAGTCAGGAAGAAATACCACTCAGTGAAAAGCAGCTACGTATGGTTGATTCGTACCAAATATGACGAAATTTATGCCGCAGAACTTTGGTCACTGTCTATCACACATATACATGGTCTACAGAGTGGAATATATGTATATATATATATATATATATATATATATATGGTTTTGAAAATTACCAGTACCGTTAATTCCTTAGGTACTCGACTTGATTAGTCTGTTTTCTTAACAAATGAAATTCAATTGATCAAGATTTGTTTCTGTAGAGATGTGGTTTTCAGTTTATGATTCCCGAGTTCGAATTCTGCTCCACTTCAACTTGTATAACCCACCGGTAAAACCAACCATCAGACATATGTGACGTGGAAAATCTGATCCAGACAACAGATAATATTAATTAATAATTAATATTAAATCCTCAATGTAATTTATTGCATAATATTTCCTCTCTGTTCGGAATCTTCAAGTGAAGTAGTAATCTTTAGTAGGCCAAGTGACGCTGTGCTATTCGGTCTGTAGCATAAACCAATCGCTTGTAATATTATATTATACTTCTCTGAGAAATGCACAGCGGTAAGTTGAAAGCCAATTAAAAAATGCGCTTAAATTCATTTTCCGACTCAAGGGTATAATTGAATGATTGGAACAATAAGAAATTGAGAAAATTGTTTGGATTTTAGGATTTCATCATGAGCTGACATTAGTTAGGGAACCATTGGAAGACCTGGGAGTACTGGACAGCTGTTTCGTCCTAGTTTGGGACTCTTCAGCAGTACGCACCCACCGGGATTCGAACCCAGGCTCTTCTGGTTACAAGGCGAGCTCGTATACCATTAAGCCACTGGGACCCGATCCAATGGTCCTTGAATTCTAACTTGTGCTAGTTCACGACATAGCGCGACCGCTAGCCAATGTCTTCGGCGAGTATTTGTCCTCACACCCGACCTGCTGCACCCTACTGGTCACGACTTTTATTTAATGAAAATCTAGGTAGCCCAGTGATTCAAGCAGGCAACGAAATGTGAGATATGTAAAAATTATAATTTTGTATATATCTCAGAGAATTCATTATAATAAAAGCTTTTTGTATTTCCCAGTGAATGAAAAAGACAAAACCATAATGATATTTTTACTGACGTTTCGCTAATTCAAATGCTGCTAACAGCTTTATCAAAGTAGTAATATTAAATCGTAATTTACAAAATCTCACCTTTTATATAACAACTAAATCATTGTTCATCAGCAGGGGTTCATTTTTGCGTTGTTGAATTGGCCAATTGGTAAGGACAACAAAACCAGGTGTTGATTGTTGGATTTGATAAGTGTGTAAAATTGTAAAAGTGGAGTGTGTTTACATAAGGAAGTTGCTTATCACATTTGTGTTGATTTTGTCATTTCATAGGGGTTGGAAGGATGTTGTAACCCAGGTCAAATTCTGTTTTAGTCCATCATTCCATTTGATATGAAGTGCTTTTGATATTAGACGTTCCTTGTGATTTCTGAAATTTTTCTGGAAAATGGTTTTTTCACGCTTTTCTAGTTCAACTGGATTTTTTGGTGGTCAAATGGATGCCCTACGGTTTTCATTTCTTCTGATTTTGATTTCTTGAGATGTCTGTCTGATGTATATCTCATCACGCTCCAAGCATTTTCTTTTATAGACACAATTAGATAGAAATCTTTAGGGATTTGGTCTTTTATATGGACAAGGTTGCTTTGAAGTGTGTCTGATGTTCTGAAGAAAACTCTAATGTCGTGCTCATTGAGTACTCTTATGATATCGTCTGACGTCTCTGCTCTATGTGGAATGACAACTGTTGAAGCTGATGTCTTCGGAATACGTTTTCAAGCACATTTAATGTCAGTGTTGATGAAGTTCCTTGGGTAGTTGTTTTGCTTGAGAGTCACAATAATGTTTGATATTTCTTCTTGTTTTTTCTTTCTCATCCATTATCACAGAGTGTGCTCATCCAAGAAGACTTGAAACAACTGGCACCTTTGCGTTGATGGGGTGTGATGATCCGAAGTCTAAATCTTTATTGGAGTGGGTGTTCTTCCTGAACATAGATATACTAAATTGTTCGTTTTCCTTCCTCTAGTAGTCTAGATATGGTAGTTTACCGATGGCTGATTCTGTTTCCGAAGTAAACTGGATTCTGGGAGATAGATTGTTCAGTTTCTCCAAGAATGAATTGCGTAGATCTCGTTTTAGCACTACAAAAGTATCATCCACATATCTTAACCATATTTTAGGAGTGAGTATGCTTGAAAAGATATTATTTTCGAATTTATTCATGTAAAGATCGGCGACTATTGGGGAGACTGGTGAACCCACAGCAACACCACTTGTCTGTCTGTATAAATTCCCTTTAAATGTAAAGTACTACCTTCTAGACAGAATTTTAAGCTCTTAATTATTTCACTGGTGTCCAGTGGACATCTTTGTGATAGTATTGTATCTGATTCTAGTAGACCGGATATGATGTCAGGCCACTCGGTAATAGTATATAATGAGTTAATATCGTAGCTTACCATGCATGATGTCTTCTTTATCTATTTCTGGGTGTTCTATTCGGAATTTCAAATCATGTGAATCTTTTACAATATTTTGAGTGTCGTTTTTTAGTGGCTGTAGTACTGAAAATAAGTATTTAGAGAGGTTTTATGTAGTGAGTTGTTAAAATCTAATACTGGACTTAATTCACTATCGATTTAGTAAAATACTGTTATGCGTCTTCTGTCCGACTGATTAAGTGATATTAATCTATCATTTTAATTAACCTTTAATCAAATTTACTCATATATATATATATATATATATATATATATATATATATATATATATATATATATATATATATTGCTTCCAGATAATATGTTTGGATAAGTTAACCCATAACCCAGCTATTGCATGGATTCCATCAAAAAAGACGATTCGTGTGCGTCGGCTGTATCAGTGAATTTACTAACTGAGTTTCCATCTATGCATTATTGACGTGTATACTCAGATAATATATATTTCTATGAGTAGTCTGTCTTTATGCACAGCATATTTGTTGTATATGTTGTCGTATAACCAGCATGTTTGTTTATAATGAGCTTTCGTAACGATACACTTTTATGCATGTAAACTATATGTATCTATTTAAAGTTTAATCATCGATTAACATTTGTTAGAGAACTATTTTGAAAATTAGGTTAGAGCTCTTGTATTTAGGGATGCATCTATGACCCTATCAGAGATCGAACCCACAGGTTTTTGGTTACAAGATCAGCTCTTTGACCAATCAGTCACTGGGATCTCTAATCCAACGGCCTATCATATCACTTCTAACTTCTCTCAATTTGTGATATCCGTTCTAGATATTTTGACGTGTTATAAACGCGAATATGAGTACAGATATTAAAAAAAGGATATATGTATCATCTGTACTTCAGAAAAATGAGTTGAATTTCAGTATTGATTGTTTTAATCTAGTCATCGCCAACAGCAGCAGCAACATCCAGCGCCAATCACCATCAACGGGAGGGATTTTAAAGAGGTTAGTGACTTCATTCACTTATCTAGGGAGCATTGTCTCAACTACAGGAGGAACGGACGACGATGTCAAATCGAGCGAGAAACACATTCATCAACCTGAAACCAATCTGGAAATCTTCGTCACTCAGCCACCATCAACAACAAAATTCAGTCGATCTTCAATACAAACGTAAAGTCAGTCAGTTCTTCTATGAAGATCAGATCAGAAATCCGGCGGGCGGGTTACAAAAAATATTTCCAACAGGCTGTTGCAGACCTTTATCAACAACTAACTGTCTTCGCTCTATACTGAAGATCAGATGGCCGGACCGGAAAGAATCACCAACACGAAACTATGGGAACAAACGAAACAAGAAGCAATCGCCAACCAATAAATATGCAGGAGAAAGTGGAGATGGATTGGACAGTTTCTGAGGAGGCCGCCACTGGGTGACATCGCGCGCACGTCAGGCCATTGCTCGAGTGGAACCAGAAAGGGAAGCGGCGAGTGGGACGTTAGTTCGAGGGTAACATGGAGGAAATCGTTTAAAGGGCAGTTGAAAGAGTATGGATTAGCATGGATGCAGGTGAAAAGTACAGCAGGAGGAGGACAGAAGCAAATGGAGACGTGCAGTTGAAGTCCTATGTTCCACTAGGAACCCAAGGGAACAATAATAATAATAATCAAAACTCATCGCCACAATAAACTGCTATCATCATAGTAATAAAAAAATTAGAGTTCAGAGCGTATTGAGTGTATACATATACTTTAAGGCTAACAGAGTGTAGTGACAGTTATTACTTTTGTTATAGAGTAACAACACTTTGTTATCTTTGGGGTTTCATCATATAAGTACAAAAAAGATGAATTGCCTGTTAAATTTCAGTTTATCCCAAGCTTATGATGCATTTTTAAAATCGATAGTTTCCACCTCACCAATCCACCATTTTAGTCTTGAAGATGGGGTTCACTGGCTGAAGCACTCAACTTTCAGTCAATACGTTCGAATCTCGTTCCACCTAATTCAGCTTGGGTAACCATCATACAGTAAGTATGGCTCCATAGCTTGGTAACAAAGAGATGAGTTCTATTAACTAACGTAAAATAGGTCATATCTTCAATAACCATCGAAAATTGCATTGTAATGGCGGCATAATGGATTAGCTTATATCTATTAATTTTAAACAGTTAGTTTAAGTTACATAGGAAGGTGTAGACTTCCTGGTTGGGGTCCTCGGGATGGTAAAAACCAATGGTTGGAAACAATTGGTGATATGGCTCAAAATCCTTCTCAGTGGCGCAGATGCATCCACTTCTTGTGACCTATGATTTCGAATGGAACTACATTGTTCTTCGTTACTTCTATTTCTTTGTCTCACACCTCTGTTTACTGTCTCTATTATGCATTTCTTCTACCTTCTTCTCTTGGTTTGTGTGCTACAAGGAGGGAGTGTGACAACTTGAACTGCTGCACATTTGTGCAAAGTTCTATGTCGAAAACAGACAGACAGAGATTAATTTTAACACTGTGATTTGATATTATATGCACTTTTCTTTCACTACCAATGCCTTGATATCGTCGTTGGTTTCATTCCAGTGAATGCGTATTCGTGCGTAGTAATGTTATGTCTAATTTTGTGGTTTGACAATCAATTGTTATCTAGGCATTTTTTTTTCGTCTTCCTGTCTAATAATACATAAAGGATAGAGAATTCTCTTGTAAATTGAGTAGCTAAAGCTCATTCGGCGTTGAACTGATATCAGAGGACGTGTGTACTGTGCAACACGGCTGTTTAAAGTGAAAGATATGAAGTGGTTAGCGGTATTTGCTCATAGGCGTTTACTTTCTATCCCTCTTGTTAAGTGGTCTAATATGGTGAGTAATAGTGAAAATATAGATATAGAGGGCAAATCAATCGATAGGTTTATGAAGCTACATTGTTCGACGTGATCAAAACTCGTATAGCGCACTGGAAGCCATCACCTTCTTCGTCAAGTAATGTTAAGTTGAAGAAGAATCGATCCAATGAAATTTTTGACTGTTGCTTTAATCCACATAAGGAGGTATAGACTGCTTTACTGACTGATGTCTTCGAGACGCGAAGTATCAATGGTTACAGGTTGTTCATACAAGTACAGTCACTCTTTATAAACTCTTAGCTCTATTAAATTCACATTATTCTCTATGTATTTATTCTTTTACGAGTCGATCACGGGTTGCTATCAGTTTGAGAACCAAGGTGTATTGGACAACTGTTTCATCCTAGTTAGGGAATCATCGGCACTATGCACCCACCCACCACCAGGGTTCGAACCGAGGACCTTTCGGTCAAAAGGCAAGCTCCTATACCATTTAGCCGTTGCAACCCGATTCAGTGGTCAGTTCATGAATTCTACATTTTACCAATTCGTGATTTAGTGCGACCCCAACCAATGTCGTCGGTGGGACATCCATCCTCACACACTTGACATTTGGATGGACCGCACTGGTTACGACTTCTCACTAGAACTCCTGGAAACTCTGTCCTGTAGCAAGTCACTCACTAGCGAGCATCAGATTAATTTTCTATAGTTGGTGTGTAGGGAACAGTTTTGTTTTTATGAGTTCTACTACGGATTGATATCAACTGGAGAACCAATGGAAATCAAGGCCTTATTCTTTTCCTCCATATATTTTCCATTTTTATTATAGTTTCTTTACGTGTCTTCTCTACCCTGTCATTTGTATGTGCTTTTATAATGTGTAACAACTTCAGCTGTTGAACTTCTGTGCAGAGTTCTACACTGAAAACTCATTCAACAGCTAAATGCATAAACATTGAGAGTAGAATTATTATTATTATCTGTACTCGGTGTTGTCAATCTATGTATTTTATTATATATTATAATTTAATATATGTGTAAAACTTGAGCACTGTGGTAGTAAGTAATTCCATATTAGTTTGTTTATTAGATATATAACACAGTGAAACAGTATTACTGTTTACTGGATGGTGATTTAGATCTAAATCATCAGTAGTAATTCCATACAAGGAAGCAACTTCGGAAACCTTACTCAGAATTCTTAACAAGGCAGGAGTAAAAGTGGCTGGCATTCAAACCATCCACAAACTCAATTAGAAACAAGCTTTGTCGGTTAAAGGAGCCAATAAAAAAAAACAATTTAGTTTATCTAATACCCTGTCTGCAATGATTGTCAGTTCAAATACATAGGTCAAACGAGTAGAACAGGGGCAGTCTGTCAGACTAACCGAATATAAAAACCTAGCAAAATCTAGATTAGTTGACCCGAATAAGATAAGAAGTCTAGAGAATAGTTCAGCTATAGCATTAGATGCAGGTACACACAACCATACAATAGGCTGGATGGGATAGGATGACACTTTTAAAGTCAAATGTCACAGATTGGAGGAAGAGATTGATCACAGAAGCATACACATGTAATAGGAATGATTCAACACCTATCCCAGATATCTGGAAAATTCTACTACCTATATGACAAATAGGAGAAGACAAAGAAAACTATAAAACTAAAATTTCAAAGTCGTGTGATCAAAATTGATATGATTATGAACAATAAATTGTGTTCGAAACGTCAACCGGTATATAATACTGTTTCACTGTGTGATATATCTAATAAACAAACTAAATACGGAATATTATAATTTAATTGGTGTGTAAGTGTTTGTATATCTATAATCCATCTTATTTGTCTATTAAATGTTTATATATTGTCGTGACTTTATACATAATGTATATCCTTTGTTGTTTTTGTTTTGTTTGTTGTTTTGGCTTGCTTTATTCTGTCTAATGAGTGTGTGTCGTCTTTAATTTTACAGGCTGCTATAATTTATTCAACCTATGGTCAGTTCCCGGATGATGATGACAATTAGCCGGTGTACATAATGATGAGAAGAGTCCGTTTACCGAATACGACGACTACTCTTACTATCACTATACAGTTAACGATACAGTGTTGTGTTGTCTGTCCACAGACTTAGAAACAGACATATGCACACACACGCAAACATACACACACTGGTTTACACTCAGTTCATTTAATGACTACTTCCCGGTTGTTTTAATTCATTGGTTCTGGTTCAGACTATTACTTCTTTCTTTGGTATTCTCATTACAAATATATGTTTATATATATATGCTTTATTGATATGAGTATAAAACTTGGGCATTGTGGCAGAGCATAACTCCATTATAACACTTAGCTGTAATACAACACTATGTCCGATTAGAAATCATTCAAACTCTAGGCTAACGAATAATTCATATAAAATGAAAAGGAATCCAAATAACATTCTCTATAATTTGGTTTGTAAGGGTTAGTTATGTTTTTTCCGAGTTGATCACGGATTGATATCAGTTAGAGAACCATTGAAAACCAGGGAGTACTGAACAGCTATTTCATCCTAGTTTGGGGAATCATCAGCAGCATGCACCCACTGGGATTCGAACCCAGAACCTTGCGGTTACTGCCGATGATTCCCAAACTAGAATGGAACAGCAGCTGTCCAGTACTCCCTGGTTTTCAATGGTTCTCTAACTGATATCAATCTGTGATCAACTCGTAAAAAATAATATTTAATTAGAGAACAATGAAAAAATGGTTAGTTTTGATATAACTAGTCTTTATATACTAATGTACCAATCAATATGGCCTTATAAGCGGGTTAAAAGAGAACTAACTTCTGGTCCCGAACTTAGTCAAAGGACAAAGCTGCCCGTTGAGAAAATTATTTTAGGGATTCAGTCATGCTTCACACCTACTGTCTTTAAAATTCCAGGGGAAAATATATAAACAAACAGATGGTGTAGCGATGGGATGGATCACCAATATCCCCTATCGTAGCAGATATATTTATGGATAGCTGGAAAAATATTGCTCTAAATACATTTAATCCTACTGCAAAGATATGGTGGAGATAGGTGGATGACACTTTCATAGTCTTAAAAACAGAACATATCTCTAGCTTCTTGACACATATAAGCTCACAAGTAGAGGGAATAAAATTCACATTTGAATCAGAAAATGAACAAGGAGAACTAGCTATGTTAGATTGTAAAGTAAAACGAATAGAAGAAGGTAAACTACACACTAGCACTTTTAAAAAACCAACTCATTTTAATATATATTTAGACTTTAATTCATCTCATCCGTTGTGTGTTAAGTGTCTAACAAACCGAGCAGTGGCACTAAGTAGCACAAAAAAAAAGACCTAAACGATGAAATGAAACAGACAGATGAGGCATTGGTATTGAATAACTATCCTATAAAATTCATTAGGAAGATCAGTAAAGACCAAAAGCAAAATAAAAATAATGGTGAAACTAATAGTGATAACATAAATAAGAGAGAATATAAGGCATTTACAGTTCTACCATATAAGAAAGCGACATCTAAGACCCTACGTAGGATTCTCAATGAAGCAGGAATTAGGGTGGTGGCATTTAAACCTACACACTCACTCAGAGACAAGCTTTGTAGGCTAAACGACCCGGTGGATCCAGTTAAACAAAATAATATAGTTTACAAAATGACTGTGAGTTAAGTCAACTGCATAAGTCAAACATAAGAATTTAGCTAAGATAAGATTGATTGACTCCGAGAAGATAAGTAATTTAGAAAAAAAATTCAGTGATTGCACTGCATGCATTAACACATAATAGGGTGGGAGAGGGTTAAAAATCTAAGAAGTAATAATCTATGTAGGTGGAGAGAGAGAGAATGATTACTGAATCCTGTCTGGTTCATTGAGTCTACACCCATCACATGCAATAGAAGTGACTCAATGCGAATACCAGAGATATGAAAGATACTATTACCACCAGTCAAATCTTAAAATTCTATTTCAATTCAAACACATCACAACATTCTAACAAGTAACTTATTATGACTATAAAAACATTCGTCTTATTTCGCATCTGATTGTAATTGATCAATAATACTCATATTATTATTATTTCCAAATGTACTTTATCTTATACTGATTTTTATTCAATTGTCTAACCCATGTATACAAATGAAACAAAAAAGGTTTTGTGTTGTGACTTGATATGATTTAAGCAGCAATAGTTTGTGCTCAAAACGTGATCATCAGTTAATACTACTGTATAACAAATACTGTGTGATTTTATCAAAATAAAATTTTATCCATAATGGAGTTGTATATGCTTTAGTTTGTGTTATAATACAATAACATTTATTATTATTTGTTCATGGATAATACACGTTCTAGTATTAATGAAAATCATAAAAGAGGCTGTTTTCAGCGAATTCATTTTATCTGCACAAACTCATTTATATACATTGTTTGTTTATTTTTCATAAAATAGGTTGTTAACAAAAGTAGCGAATTGTTATGATCATAGTTGTTAATCGAGTTAGACCACGGATTGATATCAGTTAGAGAAGCAGTGGAAACCAGGGTGTATTGGACAACTGTTCCATCCTAGTCTGGTACTCTTCAGCAGTGTGCACCCATCAGAAGTCGAACCCAGGACCTTCCGGTTACAAGGCGAGCTCGTATACCATTAAGCCACTGGGAGCCGATCCAATGGCCAGTCCTTGAATTCTAACTTCTGCCAATTTACAATACAGCGCAACCGCTAGCTAATATCTTCGGTGGCGAGTATTTGTCCTCACACCCGACCTTCTGTACCCTACTGGTCACAACTTCCCACTAGAACCCAGGTAACTACTTACCTGATGAATAGGGCCAGTCGCCAGTAAGCGTCTCATTGGTATTCAAGTGTTGGTAAGAAAACCGTTGGAAAACAACATGGGAGTACTGGATTAATTGATATCACTCCGTGGTCTAACTGAAAAAACGAATCAACTCTTGGAAATAATTTTTAATATTATTCAATGCATAAGAGAAGCTGCATACAAGTCTTTTAGATTTACGTGATCAGATAAATAATTTAATGAATGAATTGTAATCAGAATGCATATAGAAACGAATGAAAGTATGATATGACGTACAACAGACAAACTGTATAAAGAGTTAAAACAAAAACAAACAACAAAGCTATCATCATGATACTAGACGTAGCTGAATAATTCTCTTTTGTATGCAGACTTCTAGTTTTTCCTCTCTCTCTCTCTCTGAATGCCCACAGCTTCAGTAATGCAGAGAACATGAAGGTGTTGCTGAGATCAATGTTCTTCTGTTAATATCGTAGGTTAAGTTTACCTTAAAATCAAAATTCATGTAAAATTTCTTTTTTTTTTTTTGGTATAAATAAATCGGCGTTTCTCTGATCTCTCGGTGCGGTTGTGTGATACAGACGATAATGTGTGCCAACGCAATACTATTCTCACATATTCACACAGATGATTTGAGCATTAGCAGCAGAATACAATATATCTATTTGAGCATTCTATTTGATATTAGAGACAGAATACATTTCCCACGTTTATATACTGCATTAACAAGAGAAAGAAAGACCAGATTTGCAGTATAAAATGATATTATCATTCTATTTCACAGGTTCTCATCAACTGCACACCACTATCTCAAATTACAATGGTTATAAATAATAATATTTCATACTTCATTGTTTGAAAGGTAATAGAGAAAACATTATAAGGTGAACGCATCTGGAATATAAGTATGATAATTTATAGTTTAAGTTACCATCAATTTATATACTATGAAACCATAAAAAAAGAAATAGGACGGGGGGGGTTGAGAGAAGACAGAAAACAGAAGAATCTAATAAACAGTGTCAACATGGCAACTCAAGAAGGTCAAAGTTCATCAATTTGAAAACTTGTTTAGTGAGTTGAGCTCACTAGTGTGTATGACTAATCAGTGTAATGAAAATGATATGGTTACCAAGAGTGTGGGAGATTGACTACACTCTCTTTCTGTGTGCATAAGTTTGGTCTGTGAGGTTTGATTGCAATTGCTTCAGCAAATCGTAGTAGATTGGCTGTCCTTTGTATGTTTAATATTTTGAAGGATTTGGAAATCTCGACAAAGTGACCCGTATCCACAAGGTGTCTGGTAATTGCGCTTTGTAAATATCTGCTTCCTTTTAGGCATAAGTTTCTTGGAATATGCCTAAAAAGAAGCAGATATTTACAAAGCGCAATTACCGGACACCTTGTGGATACGGGTCATTTTGTCGAGATTTCCAAATCCTTCAAAATTTTAAACATACAAAGGACAGCCAATCTACTACGATTTGCCGAAGCAGTTGCAATCAAACCTCACAGACCAAACTTATGCACACAGAAAGAGAGTGTAGTCAATCTCTCACACCCTTGGTAACCATATCATTTTCATTACACTGATTAGACATACACACTAGTGAGCTCAACTCACTAAGCAAGTTTTCAAATTGATGAACTTTGACCTTCTTGAGTTGCCATGTTGACACTGTTTATTAGATTCTTCTGTTTTCTGTCTTCTCTCAACCCCTTTTTCTTTTTTCATGGTTTGATAGTATATAAATTGATGGTAACTTAAACTATAAATTATCATACTCATATTCCAGATGCGTTCATCTTATAATGTTTTCTTTATTACCTTTCAAACAATGAAGTATGAAATATTATTATTTATAACCATTGTAATTTGAGATAGTGGTGTGCAGTTGATGAGAACCTGTGAAATAGAATGATGATATCATTTTATACTGCAAATCTGGTCTTTCTTTATCTATCGAAATTTATCATGGGAACCAAATGTATGAAGTACTATGTATATTAGAATATTCTATTTCATATTGTTTGATTTAAACGGAAATCACACGCTCGGTGATTGGTTAGAGAATATAAAACTATATATAAATGGCGGTTCGGTCATTTGAAAATATACCTAGGATTCCGTGTTTTGCCTTCTGTTGTTACATGCTAACAGCCTTTGAAACCAAGGGAAGGAAGACAAAGGAGGATTAATAGAGAAGAATGAGTAGAATATATGAATGTAAACATTGTAAGAGGTTGATTTATGCCAGAAATCCTCAACTTCCGTATGTATGAGTCAAACGAAAGGATTTTTTTTTAGAAATTAACAAGATATACGACGATAACGAAAGATTTGAATAGAAACTGATAACAAGATAGGTATCATTCAACTTATTTCCTATCATAATAGTGCTTTTGACATTACAAGAATCATAGGAGTGAATCAGTCGATACAATTCTCGTTTACCACTGAAAATAAAATTAACACTTTTATATATATTTAGAAGGTTCAGTTTAAGAGCATTGGTGCATTCGTTAGTAAGCCATATAGGTTGTTTGAGGGTTCATCATAACTAATCCTTTCGCCAACATACAACACAGTGGTGAGTTTAAGTCAATTCATCCACATTTCATCAA